TCAGAGGGGTTTAAGTGAGAGGGGTTTAAGTCAGAGTGGTTAAGTCAGAGGAGTTAAATCAGAGGGGTTAAGTCAGAGGAGTTAAATTAGAGGGACTAAGTCAGAGGGGTTAAGTCAGAGGGGTTTAAGTCAGAGGGGTTAAGTCAGAGGAGTTAAATTATAGGGGTTAAGTCAGAGCAGTTTAAGTCAGAGTGGTTAAGTCAGAGGAGTTAAATTAGAGGGGTTAAGTCAGAGCGGTTAAGTCAGAAGACTTAAGTCAGAGGGGTTTAAGTCAGAAGGGTTAAGTCAGAGGGGTTTAAGTCAGAGGGGTTAGATTAGATAGGTTAAATCAGAGGAGTTTAGTTAGAGAAGTTAAGTCAGAGAGATAAAGTCAAAGTGGTTAAGTCAAAGGGGTTTAAGTCAGAGGGGTTAAATGAGAGGGCTTATAAGTATGTAATAGGGGCATAAGGATTCACAAAAATTTGACTGAACCTTGTTTTGATATATTTTTGAAAACAATAAAAAAGCAGTGCTTATGTACCAAAATGTAATTATGTTAATGTTTCCAATTTAAGTTTATTAGAGTATTATTCAACATCACAAAAATACAATATTTTAGACTTTGGAATGGCACAGTGGTGTTTTACCTGATCCACTCAGACTGGTTTCTTGGCAGCATAGAAACATTAGACAAAAGCTAGCACACTAGCCACTATGTAATACAATACAATACAATACAATACAGAGCACTGTTACAACCCTAATATGTAATAATAACATGTCCCATATGAATTGTGTGTAAATCCCTATATGTATTAATAGTATGTCCCACTGCTATTGAAAGAGACACAGCATGTTGTTGACATGTTAATTCTAGGTTATTTGTTCTGCAGCATTTATTGAACATGCTACAGTGTTATACATATTACCACTGTCGGAAACAAAACCTTCATCTCTATATTTGGCTTTTTTTCTTACATCATTTGAAAGGTTTTATAAATAGCTTTATAAATAGAAATGTTCCATTAAGAAAAAAATCTCATTTAATACTAATGATGTCTTGTATAACTATGTTTTATCACCTGTCTATAAAGCACTCTGAGCTGCCACTGGCATAAAAAGTGCTATATAAATAAAAATTCTTCTTCTTCTTAATAATGTTTTAACAATGTTTTTCCCTTCTGCTGAAAAATTACCATTTTCTTTTTGTTCTGACAGTGACAATATGTTCATACCTATATGTAATAATAATATGGCACATAAGTGTTATTTACAGTCAAGTTTGAACACTCTTGGTCAAAATACATGTTTTACTGATTTTCCACATGAAAAACTGCCATTGAAATGGTGCAGCACTGTGTTCTCTGTGGAGAATGTGTTAACCTATTTTTACTTGAAAAACCAACGAAATATGTTATATTGCCAGAGGTGCACAAACTTTTGTATACGACTGCAAATGTAAGTATTTAAATATGAATAATTTAAGTGTACCTTTATCTCAGGAACTGAAAAGGAATGTTTTTGCTCTTTCAGCAAAAATGCAGCGTTTATAAATGCAGATTTTTACGAAGTTAGGAGTATTTTGCTGGTAGTGTATGTTAGTATTGTTTTTCCCTGGCCGTCTGATCACACAGATCCACACACACACACACACACACACACACCTTGATAAGGTGTGTGATTTTCAACTGCAAAGTCACTTAAAAATTCATAAATATATTACAGCGTGGCCGAAGCAGATCAGTGCAGTAACACGTCACTGCGTTCAGTTAGTGGTGTGTGATGGCACGTCAGTGTGCGTGAGAGAATGTGTGTGTTCCTGCATGTAGGGTCAGTGCTGCACACACCACGATATCACGTCCTCCTGACAGAAGCAGGTCTGCTCTGAGGCTCATTTGCTCCACTTTAACCGCTTTTAGAGAGACAGGACGGATGTTAGTAAAGTCAGCGTGAGCCCACGGCTCGAAAGAGATTCAAACTGAAACCAAGTGCTCAGTACAAATGAAGTCTAAGCATCATGATTCAAGCTGACTGAGTCGTCTTGTGATTCTGAAACAATGGCGACCACATCCTTTTTTCCATGTCATGACTTACACTGCCATCCTGAAGCTCAGAGATGAGGCCTAGCTCTGCCTGAATAGGGCGGGTATCGAAGTTCAGTCCTTCTATGGTACTGACTGAATTACTTCGGTATTACAGATTATGGATAAATTCTGTTATTCAATACCTTAATACCTAAACAGTCAGTGTTATCAGTGTCAGTGAGCTAAACAATCTGAAGAATCTAGACTGGCTGTCTAAATTACATCCACAAGCATGTTATTAACATCAGTGCCTTTTGACTAGTCTGTTGAAGTCAGCACATTTACCCACACTCATTTATGGTTTAAGCCACACCCACGTTCGGTCTGTAATGCAAAACAAAGTACTAAAAAAAGTATCGTAAGTATCATAAGAATCAGTATCAAAGCTAAGGTATCAGGAAAAATTCTGAATGGAACTCCTGACTAAGGGGCAGTATGACAACCTTTGTTGCCATGATACATTACATCACAGTAAAAAGACCAATTAAAGAGAGCTGCTAAACAAAATCAATTTGCATAGAAATTGTAGTAATAAGCAGCTGATTGGATGTCAACCTATTACGCCGTTATCTTATTTTATTAATTTATTTTCACCACTGTTTGATAACAAAGAAATCCTTTGGAAAAAGAAATCCTTTCTCACAGCTTTTTTCACCTGTTTTGGAAGCTCCTCAGTTTTGGCACTGTGCATTGTGTTCCTCATTAATGTTAATGAAATATATTTTGAAGGAAATGTCTTGGATTTACAAAAACAGAATTGGATCTTAAACTTTGTTGGTGAGGAAGCAAGTCACTATTAATAAAAGTGCTTTTATTGCTATTTTATTGCTGTGTTTTCACAAACCTCAGAAAAAGTAAATATCTCAATGTGTGGGAATGTCATAAGTACTGTAATGTTATGTTTTTGCCATGTCGCCCCGCTTTTAGTCCTGACTGACAGAGGTCACTTCATTTGCAGCCTGGTACAGTGATTATGCAACATTATAGACTCCACAGCTCTTACATAAAAGAGCACCTGCCCTCTCACTGTTCATAAAAGCGCTTTTATTGTGTTTAAATGCTGTTTTTCATTGTGATTGTACACAATTTTTGATATGAAGTAAAGCTGCCGTTGTTCTGTCCATTTTACTTGAGCTTGGCTCGGATGTCTTAGTGGAGACGTGTGACAGCAGGGGGGTCTCACTCCTCCCCTTTGACTTCTCATTGCTTACCAGCAGCTCAACATAGAGTCACAACATTCCACACACACAGAGCGATCAGGGTCCTAGTTAATTTGCCAACAGAGTTATATGGGAAAATTATTTTATTTGATTATATATATGTTTTTTAATATCCAAGTGAATTTCCATTATGCTGACCAAGTGGTCACTATGGGGCCTGCAGAAAGAGGCTATTTACACATGTCCTAACTTATTCACAAACTTCAGAAAATGCAAATTTCTCGAGGCGTGGAAATAATGTGTTTTTGCCATGTCGCCCCACTCTTAGTCCTGACTGACAGAGGTCACTTCATTTGCAGCCTTGTGCAGAGATTATGCAATATTACAGACTCCACAGCTCTTACATAAAAGTGCTCTTGCCCCTGGTACTTTCCCACTTTGAATCCTGGAGCTGTGCTAGTCTGTAGATTATCCCCTCATGTGGGCAGCCCTGCCCACTCACCCCTCTGTCCCGTCCTTTTCACGCTCGGTCCAGTTCACGCAATTGCCACCCAGACACACACACACATCGTCCCTTAGCACTCAATGGCCCAATTGTGCACTATGTCTGAGAGATACAAATAAATTCAAACTGACAACGACAGCAGCACCAGCCCCTTGTTAAAGGGGAATTCCACCTATTTTTCAAAATTTGTGCATAATTAAATGGTTAAGATCTAAACACAGTCATTTACAGTGATTTGCTGTGAAATGTTCCACTCTACAGAAACTTACAGTCAGAATTCTTCACTGTGGTGGTGATAGGAACCAGACGTCTGAAGCATTCAACATCTCTTAAAGCTCCCTCACAGAAAGCTACTACATTATATATTTACCAATATGATGCCTGGTGTCTGAAACATTGTTTTACTAAAGTTTTGAGGTAAGGATTTGGCTGTACATATAATTTCAACAGCCACTCATGGTGGAGGAGCACATGTAGGGTGTTATGAGGCAAAATAGACCCTAAAGAATTTATTTTTTTCCAGATTTACTACTATTTCATCATGAACATCACGTACAAAAGATGAGTGTAGGTTCACCGGTGGTTTTGGATAGTAAATAAACTGCCATTTTTTGCACTGTAGACAACACAACCGCTGCTTCCTATTACCACCGCTGTAAAGAAATCTAAGGCATGTTCCTCTATAATGAATCAATTCACAGCAAACCACTCTGAATGACTTTGTTTACATCTCAATGACCGAATTATTCTGAAATTTTGAAAATTCGGTGGAATTCCTCTTCAAACTGCAGAGACAGAAGCGTCAGAAATGTCCCAGACATGTTTTAACGTTAATGTTAACCCAGGCCTTGGAGGAAAACAGTAGATAAGACTTTGCAAACATTTTCCAGCAGCCCTGAGAGGACTGAGTCTGCGGGAGGCAAATAAGTAGGCTAAAAACAAAGCTGCCTGCGGAGACTGGCACAGAAAAATGCTGTGAACTCCTGAAACGCACCGAGGGGTCCTCATGAGCTAAATCTCTGAATAACACACATTTCCACTGGCTTCGTTTTCTCAGTAAACCCTATTCTGGTTATTCCTCATGGTCAAAAAAGTTAGCACTTAGCAAACAAACAACTGCAAAAGACACCTGACACGTTCTCCCTCTTCCGTGAGTGATGCAGAAATATATCCACTCTATTTCCATAGGTCTACATTATGTAGGTTATTAAAATAAAAACGCGACCCAAGTATCTAAATTATTTTAAAACAGGAAAGTTCTGTGTGTCTCACCCGCTGTTGCAGGTGCATCCGCGACGTGTAATCCAAATGTCATAAAATCAGAAGAGCATTTTTTCCGCCAGCCCTAAACTCTCCGATGCAGCACCAGCGCTCACTGTCACTCTGCCCCGAGCGAGAACCTGTTAGTCCCCCGTCACGTGACAAGGGTGAAAAAAAATACTCACTCTGGCTGTGTTCCGATTGGCGTCCTTGCGTTCTCTTGAAAATTTAGAGAACAAGCATACTAGCTAGTGCATTCTAGTAGCACTACTAGTCCTCCACTCAGCCTGGCTATGGCCGTGGCGAGCTAGCCAACATGAGCAAACTGTAAAACAAATGTAAACATACAGAAACTATACACGTTTTATACTTCTTCAGTTTAAAAAATAGGCAAACATGATTGTAACACTTATCTATAAACTGATAGTTTATTCTTAGGTCTAGAAGTCCTTAAAGGAAAGTCTGTCCAGTCCTCAGCCATCTTTGCAATACTCATGAGGGGGTAATTTACAGAGAAAGAGTAATGTCTCCAGGGTTTGTAAAACGCCAGAGTGCTCATATGGGCAGAACAGAATAGCATAAAACATTTTAATGCTGCTGTTATATTTTTATAACTACTGTTATAAAGCACTCAGTAGCAGTAATGCCAACCAATCAGCACTCAGTAGCAGTAATGCCAACCAATAAGCACTCAGTAGCAGTAATGCCAACCAATCAGCACTCAGTGACAGTAATGCTAACCAGTCAGCCCTCAGTAGTAGTTTTACTAACCAATCAGCACTCAGTTGCAGTAATGCTAACCAATCAGCACTCAGTAGCAGTAATGCTGATCAATCAGCACTCAGTAGCAGTAATGCCAACCAGTCAGCATTCAGTAGTAGTAATACTAACCAATCAGCATTCAGTAGTAGTAATGCTAACCAATCAGCGCTCAGTGGCAGTAATGCTAACCAATCAGCGCTCAGTGGCAGTAATGCTAACCAATCAGCACTCAGTGGCAGTAATGCTGATCAATCAGCACTCAGTAGCAGTAATGCCAACCAATCAGCACTCAGTGACAGTAATGCTAACCAGTCAGCACTCAGTAGCAGTAATGCCAACCATTCAGCATTCAGTAGTAGTAATACTAACCAATCAGCATTCAGTAGTAGTAATGCTAACCAATCAGCGCTCAGTAGCAGTAATGCTAACCAATCAGCGCTCAGTGGCAGTAATGCTGATCAATCAGTACTCAGTAGCAGTAATGCCAACCAGTCAGCACTCAGTGACAGTAATGCTAACCAGTCAGCACTCAGTAGCAGTAATGCTAACCAGTGAGGCCTCAGTAGTAGTTTTACTAACCAATCAGCACTCAGTTCCAGTAATGCTAACCAATCAGCACTCAGTGGCAGTAATGCTGATCAATCAGCACTCAGTAGCAGTAATGCCAACCAGTCAGCATTCAGTAGTAGTAATACAAACCAATCAGCATTCAGTAGTAGTAATGCTAACCAATCAGCGCTCAGTAGCAGTAATGCTAACCAATCAGCGCTCAGTGGCAGTTATGCTAACCAAACAGCGCTCAGTGGCAGTAATGCTGATCAATCAGCACTCAGTAGCAGTAATGCCAACCAGTCAGCATTCAGTAGTAGTAATACTAACCAATCAGCACTCAGTGGCAGTAATGCTAACCAATCAGCGCTCAGTAGCAGTAATGCTAACCAATCAGCACTCAGTAGCAATGATGCTAGCGTTCTACTGCCAAAAAACCCTTTTGCTGTAGAAAAAAAGGAACAGGTAGATTTACTTTTTTAGTGAACTACATCCTTTTACTTTCTAAAAAAATGGTTAGAAACTATTTGACATTTTTGTTTTTAGCTGTTTAGCTCCAGTCACCCCCATTCATTGAGGACATGCTCACAAGCGCCCTCTGGTGTTTGGCAGTCTGTTTCTGACATATAGAGAGGAACAGGAAGTGGCCAGCTTCCCCTTAAACTGGCTGTGCCCCAAGCAGTTCTTTCAACTCGCACAAGACCACACACGTTTCTCTTTGAATGAGGAGAGACTTTTAAAACTGAAACTAAAAGCCACATCATCATTTCAAAAACATATTTGAAAACACTGATAAAATCTGACAAAACCAGCATAACTAGTTTATACCATTTGGCTCAAATAACACATGAGTTTTAGCTGGTTGTGGCTACTGCACCTGTGTATACCCCCATAGCCAGGGGGAGCTGTTCCACTAGCAGCTTAGCAAGCCGACTGGCTCATTTTAACGAAGGGTGGGATTTTCCTCATAAACAGACACCATGCTGAGCATTTCGAGTTTTCCAATTTATTTTCCAACCAGTGGCCTGTCTCTTCCTTTATAACGTCTCTGATTAAATTCTGGGAAGGAAAAATCCAGTAGGAAGTACAGTGGACAGAATCTCTGCACCTTCAAGCACACGTGTTGAATTCTACTCCATGTGATACAGTAGGTTACACACTACTAACGGTTTAGCTTCAATTATTTTACCAGAGATATTATGAAAGAAGGAGACTGTTAATTGGTGGAAAAAGGACCTCATTGGTGAAGAATTTCTAGTTAGGAGAGTTGCCACTCAGTAGCGTCTTCCAGGTTTGTCTGACAATGGAGAGTCCAAGTCCAAAACAAATGGGCTCCTATGGCACATTTTAAATAATTTCTTATACAGAAAATGCTAAGATAGGTAACATAGAACAGCATAAAACATTTTAACATTGCTGTCTTATTTTTAAACTCATTCGAGGATTTTTTAACAGTGTCATAAATACACTTCACGAGCGCGTCAGTGAGCACAAACCGCTTCACTCAACCAAAAAGTTGATCAGCTTGCCAACCAATCAGCACTCAGTAGCAGTAACACTAGCATCCTGCTGCCCCAAAAAAAAAGATACTAGTAAGTTTTCTCTGATTTTTTTATGCAATACATCCTTCTATTTTCCAGAATTAAAGGAAGTTCCTGTATAAATGACTAGAAACGTTTGATTTTTCATTTTAGCCGCTTAGCTCCATTCATCCCCATTCATTGAGGTTACCCCATCCTGTGTTGGGGTAGCGCTGGGCAGTTTCTCTCGCTGACTGTAGAGTATTCACCTGTATGTGCAATGTTTTCCACGTCTTCTTCTGCGCCGATGCTACAATAGTTTTGTGCGTTATTTAATCCAAGTGAAACACCACCAACTATTTAAGCAATTGTCAGGTTTCACCACTGATTTCAAATATGTATTTGAAATGGTGGCCTGGCTAAATTAGTTTTTAGATCTCTCACTCATTCAAGTCTTGTGCGACTGCAAAAAAACTACTCATGGGGGACAGCTGTCTGCTGAACATACAGACATCTCTTAAAGGACTTCGAGTCTTCGAGGCCAAGCCTTCTAGAGAGTGCGCAAGTATGCAGATTGGAGCGCAGCCACAGAGCGGCTGCACCGTCTAACATGGAGAAGAGCGAGATTTCTCAATCAAAACTTTTTTTGCCCCGGTAGTAACAAACAGGTGAATGGAGTTATCTGAACTGAGGACGTGCTTTATACTGACAGCCAGCACCATACGCGTTTAACGACGTACATTATTTATAGCCGGGCTGCTTTGAAATCGCGCTTGAACGATTAGTACGTCAACAAATCCAGCGACCAATGAGGTTAGCGCACGCGCAGGCGCGTCTTCACGACACTTGTGTGGTTTCTGGGAACTGTAGTCGCAAAACGCCTCGTCGCTGTAAGCTTACGAAGTATTTTCCATACCCCAAAACTACAACATGCTGTATCTCGGATTGGTTCCAAGTTGCATCAGCGTTCAGGAGGTTGTAAAGCCGGCTGAGTTGAATGCCGTGTGTTTTGTAGAAATATTCAGAGCTGTCAAATCGATAACGCCATTCCTGTAGGCGAGCGGAGCGAGGCAGTAAGAGGGGCCAAATGAAACTGTTTATCGGCGAAGGGAACCCGCACTGTGTGAAGGTGTTAGCGGTGCTGGAGTTAGCGGGAGTGAAATGTGACGTACAGCTGGTCAGCCACGAGGGTAAGTAAGTGATTTGAGCTGAGCTGAGCGGTTAGACGAGGTTGAAGTTGGCTTTGTGTTCCCCAGCTTCTTGTTCGAATTTTCCCGTTCCACCTTAAATGGTGCAGCAGTTACATTCTGAGGCCTGAGGCACAAGAATGTAACTGCTGCATCATTCAAGGTGGAACTGGAAAATTCTGCTAGTAAGCTGGCGAATAGGAAGCTGCAGCATCGTAGCATTTGGGCTGTGTTACGCGCTCCTGTTTATGTACGTGTGAGAAAGACCGAGTTTAGCTCTTGCTTTTAGGTTGTAAGTTAGTGCTGTTCGCATTCTGCACTACCTGTGATGTTTCAGTACCTGTTTCAGAGGTTCTGTTACCCTTTAATCCCAGTTAATCTTACTGACCGTGAGGTGGGCGATATGGCAAAAATTTAACATCGCGATACTACAGGAAATTTCATGTATAACTGACGGATTTATTTTTTCAGGCACGATTTGTGCAAAGATACAAAAGAAAACATTATACATTTCAAATACACACACACACACACACTCACACACACAGTATATATATTACATGTATATTACATATATACATATATATATATATATGTACATATATATATATATATTACATATACACACACACACACACACACATATATATATATATATATATATATATATATATATATATATATATATGTATATAATAAAAAACTGTAATATAACAGTATTACTCAATACTTCATGTACTGTGCTGCACTAAATCCAGTTAGTCGGTGTTATTTAAGTACTGATCATGTTCATAATATATTTAAAATAAACATATTACACTGTATTGTGAAATATTTTATCATGATAACGATAAATAATGCCATATTGCCCAACCCTAAACTACACTATTCTCATGATTTCATTCTGAAATGAAGGTAGTTAGCTGATGTTAAAAGGCCCATATTTCCCTGCCCACAATTGATGTGTGTTTGCTGTTATGTATTAGTGCAGTTATACTCATACTAAGCAGTTGTAATTCATTTATCATGATCTCTTTTTCCAGCTGATCTCTGTCCTTTAGAAGTAACCAAGTTGTTTTTTTTTCCTGTGCCTTTAAGACTCATATATGTAAATGATTT